TCACTTCCACTGACTCTGCCCCTGTGTGTCCTGGTAGACCTGGTGTCTTCTCTGCTGGACCTCGCCCTTGTATGAACAAGGGAGCTCCCTGAGGCCTGAGAGGAAGGTCCCCTTGTCCAGGGGGCTGTGTTTGCTTAGGCTGGAGAGTAGAGAACTGCCTTGGACCAGAATCATGGCCTGAGGTTCCCAGATGCACTGGGCGTGTGTTTACAGGGGCTGTGACCAGAAGGGGCCAGAACTTCTCAGGGGAGTTTATTCTTTCCTTTTTTTTTTTTTTTTTTAATTTACGTTATTGTTTACATTTTTAAGAATACACACAGCAGAACATACACCAATTCAACCATCTGTGCACATGCAATCTGGTGATGTGGTTTTTGGAGTGGTGCAACCATCCTCATCTTCTTTTCCTAATTGTTCCCTCCCATTAACGTAACTCCCTGCCCCGTAAGTTTCCTATCGAAACTTTCGAGTTGCTGTTGTCAGTTCAATCCCATAGAGATAGTTCTTAGCGGAGCACGACGCTCAAGGCAGCCGGTCTTTGTTAGTGAAGCTAAACTGTGGTTTGGTCTGAAGAAGACATGAGGGGATATTGTTGGTTGAAGGCTGAAGGATCATGTCTGGGTAACAGTTTAGGGCTTCATCCAGCCTCCGTGGCTCCAGAAAGTCTGGCTTCCTTGAGAATCTGAAGCTCTGCTCTGTGTTTTCCCCTCTGGGTCAGGATTCTTCTGCAGAACCTTTTCTCACAGCGTTCAGTCCTGGTAACTGAGCACCGTTCATTCTTCTGGCCTCAGAGCAGAAGAGGCCGTCGTTCGTTTCGCCCTCCTCCTCCTCCTCCTCCTCCTCCTGGCTCCCCCTCCTCTGTTGAGCCAGAGGAACAACACTTTTGTGCTCTGGATGACCGCTGGCAAGCTTGTGGCACCCCAGGCACCGCGCGACGGCCTAGGAGGTGGAACAGAAGCACTAAGCATGGTATTAGGCCAGCTGGGATGTCCTGGGAAGCTATGACCCTAAACTCCCAAACCAAGGAACCCAATCCTGGGAGGTGTGTGGTTGTGCGTGGGCAGCGTCCCTCCTTTCCCCTTCTCCTGCTCTGCTCAGCACCTGGGCCGCCTTCCGTGTGAGCACTGGGCTGCAGGGGAGCCGTCCCTCTTGGGGGTGGGGTTACTCTGAAGGTGGGGGCCCAGTTCAGTGTGACAAGGGTCTCCTGTTAGATCCCCCTCTTCCGGCAGGCCTGGAACTAAGCTACCTGGCCCCCTGGCCTCAGGCCCCTGATCCCAGCCCACGTGGCCACGTAGGTAGATGCCCTTGGGGAAGACGTGGGCTTGCTGAGTCCCGAGGTCAGGCTATCCTCTGAAACGTGGCCTCTGGGTTCCCTGCTCTCCCTCAGCTCTATGGCACCCTTTAAGGTCACTGTGCAGAGCACCGTTTTTTAGTGTTTTCATAGCGCTGGTCTAAGTGCTCTTCCCGCCTTAACACGAGTAGCAATATGAACACAGACCTTCTGCTTACTTACTTCTTCCTTTACACCTTACACAAGCCTGTCTGGGGGGGGGGGACCAGTTCCAGTGCTGAGGGCTCGCCCAGCCCCCGCCACACTCCTGGATGGAGCTCCGGTGCCTGGCCCTCCCCCAGGGCCACACACTTCGCTGGGTGCCTTGAGTCTGGAAAGAAGGTCATGACAGTGTAAAATGTGCGGCTGTGACCCCAGGAAAGGACTCCCACTTACCAGGGTATCAATGGGATAATGTCTGCGCAATTTGAACCCAGGCCCCTCAGTGTGGCCGTGGTCAGCAGTAACTGCTCCCTGGGGAACATCAGGCCCATGTCGGGCGCACCTCTGTCCTTGTTGGGTGCTCTGCTCGCCCCTGGGGAACATTGGGGGAGGAGGAGCTGACTTCCACCCCACACCCCCTGCCCCAGGCCTCCTTGGCATCCCGGCCTGAGTGACTGAAGTGGGTGCATTCATGCCCCTTCAGGGTTGGGGAAGGTCTTGTGAGGGTCTGAATGCCGGGTGGGCCCTCAGTGAGCACTCCCCGCTTCACTGAAGCCCATTCTGTGATGTTATCTAGAGCACTGTGAGCCAGGCCCTGTCCTCCATCCTGGGAATGTGTCCGTCCTGGGACCTGTCCGAGAGCAAAGCACAGACACCTGGCCCAGGACCCACCATTCCAGCTGGAGTCCTCCCCAGGAAACCACGCCAGCAGACAGACCACCACCACCGCAAACATGCCTGGTGCACGGGCGTCACATGCCCGCATGGTCTGTCTGCACAGAGAACATGACCCCGACGTGGCCAGCCACGCTGCTGGCACGCACCCGGAGGCCCACGTCCTGGTGGCCTGGGTGACGGCAGGATTAGACTGCGGTGTGCCACGCCCTCGTCACAGGCCGCCCAGGGGTTTCCCAGCTGGTTTCTAAGTGGATTGCCAGGTCTTTCTTCCTAATCTGTCTGAGTTTGGAAGCTGCTCTGAAACCTGTCCGCCACGGGTGACCCTGCTGGTGTTTGAAATGCTGGCGGCAGAACTTCCAGCCTCACAGTCACACACAAGCCACCGCAGTGTGACACACTGAGAGGCGAGTGGTGGCCTCCTAAACCCCTTGCTCTTGAGTCAGTCCTGACTCATCGTGACCCCGTGGGCAGAGTAGGATGGGCGACGTGCACACGGTTCTGGGCGGTCAGAGGTGGGCCCGGGTTTGGGGCTTCACCCACGTTGAGCTCACGCCGGGCATCTCATGATCTCTGCTCCGAGTGAGCGTCCTCAGCCCACCCGTCTCTTCCCTTCTCGTTGGGACTTTTTCGGGGACCATCCCCTCACAGAGTCCCTCCATCTGCCCTCACAGCTGGGCTCTGGGTCCCAAGCCACTCTGTGTCCTCTCAGCCTCTTCCACGAGGACTGGGAGGA